CCAACCGGAGAAGCGACATGGCAGCATGCCAAACTCCGAGATCGGCAGAGGAAGAAGAAGCTGGAGACATGCTTCAACCGGAGACACGGTGCCCGCGATCTTCAGCAGCTACAGCCCGGGGATCATGTTCGGATCAAGACGGAGAAGGAAGCAAGCTGGTCCGAGCCCGCCACCGTCATAGAGAAGCTCTCTAGACGCAGCTACCTTATGGAGCTCAAGGGTGCTCGCTATCGTCGCAACCGACGTCATCTGATGCAGATCCCTCCGTTTCAGGTGTTGACACAGCACGGTTCCGCGCGGCGTGCTGACTGTTCTGCACACAGGGTGCCCGCTCCAGACCTCCTCTCTGGCCGCCATGCTGAGGTGGCGCCACCGGCGCTGCTGCAACCGCAGCCGCGCGAACCGGCGCCTGCACCACGATCGGTAGTGCCACGGCCACCACCAGCTGTGCCGTCGCCCGCTTCGAAAGCGGCGCCGCCGCCGTCGCTGCCGCCGCTGACAGAAGCTGCGGCCCAGCCCTGCAACGCGCAAGTGCCCCAGACACAAGACCCCACGCCACTGCTTAGTTTTAGTCCGCGTAAAACACGCAGTGGCCGCATTTTCTGAGAGGCATCAAAGAGAAGCAGCAGAGAAGCAGCAGGAAAGCAGATGGGAAGCAGCAGGAAAGCAGCAGAGGAGAAGCAGTCTGAGAAGCAAAAGGGAAGCAGCAGCCTCAGAAGCGGCATAGCAGCAGCAGGGAAGCAGCAGGGAAGCAGCAGTCTGTCGCCAATAATTTCGTTTCGCAAGCGTTTTTTTATATATTATACATTTATTTGCATTTCCTCAAGGGGGGAGATGTATCATGATGTTACTGGCGTACCCCTGAGACCGCCCCTGCTCGCGCCGCCAGTGCTGCTGCACTTTGGTACGCCGCGGCCCCGAATGGCGGTGTACTGCCTGGGGCGCCACCCGCCGGAGTCGGCGCCGCCCGCTCGCTTCGCGGGATAATACAGTTGCCGTTTAGCAGCGCTCGTGTCTGGTCTGGGCAGACAACGCAGGTCTGCCCAGACCAGAAAGAGAGAGAGAGAGAGAGAGAGATATATATATATATATATATATATATATATATATATATGCTAAATTAGTGAATTTTGGTCATCCGCTGTATTAATGAATAAGTGCAAACCAAAGTGCAGCTATACTACTGTAGATCATAGCTTGACCTGGCTTATGTCATCTATCGAGCAGAGGCCGGCTTGGTGGGCCATGACAGACCAAATACCATGAAAGAAACGTGTACGCATCCGGCTGATTGCCCATGGGCTCGGGACGAGTTGTGCTGCTATCTGATGAGTCCGTGGCGAGCACTAGGACAACGACAACGCAGCTCGTACCAGTAGCGACGGCACCGCCGTGGCGTCAGTAGTGCTGCCATCTTGGACGGGATCAGTAGCGCCTCACCTGGAGACTGGGGGAACTAAGGGCAGACTCGTGGGCTCGCTTCATGGTGAGTGCTGTGTTCATCTTTGCCTTCAAAATGTGTTAAGTTAATCTCTTTTAATGACAATTAATAACCTTGGGACATTTTAGCTTGTTATGAGCACGCTTTGTGCTGCACCTGATGCGCATGACAGACTCCTCAGTTTTAGCTTGCGTCGCATTTGGAATCGATGTTGCAGTCTTGCAGGTACCGCCGTCTATTACGGCTGTCAACACCACTAGCGGCTCTAAACCATACTATACTTTCGGCGCTTGTGTATAGTCATAAAAATGACCACTGAAGGTGATTTTTTGCATGCTGTGTATGGGATGGGTGGAAATATTTGATACATTCAAGTTCGAGCATACTCATCAGTTCCCTGCCTACCTCTCTGTGCGTTCTTGTGTACCTCGCACCCAAATCGCGAGAAAACGGTTCAACTGCAGATGCTTCAGCCTTGCCACGCGTTCCTCTGGACGAAACAAAGTGCTAGTAAATACCGTCCCTGTAGTCCACTTAACCAAATTTTGGAAGCTCTGCTATGCAACGCAAGCACGTGAGATATGTGATAAAGAGATCCTCATATTCTGCTGATAAGACCCGCGTATTCCTGCTGATGAGATCCGCATATTCCTGCTGATGCTGCTAAATAATATAGCGCAAGTGTGTGCGTTCGCGCCCCAAAGCGCATTTTGTGGGTGGTGGCTTTTGCTGGCATATTGGCTTATCTGCTGCTGGTCGGGATAGCTGGATTGAAACGGCATCCGCGATTTTACTTCATTGCATGACGCAAAAAAAGCTATGTACCGCTTAAAACAGTCCGTCGAAGTGTAACTGATCTATGCACTGAGGTATAAAGTGAGGATATTACAGTTTAAGTATCTCACAGACCAAAAGCTGTAATTTGCAAGTCGTGCGATTCTTAAACCATTCCCGCCCCGTACTGGATAAAATTTCTATGAAAAAACTGGAAGGGAAAATTAGACAAGATGTTGTGTGGGAGAATTGCCCGGACATACACTTTCAATGGCCCCAGATACCAGTAAAGTTCTGAACCTGTGCCCACCAGAGGGTTCTGTGCCCATTCGTTCCCTGTGTTAGCTGCGTCCTGTCCCACGATAAAGTGGCGACACAAAGGCCTATGTTATAGTTTTAGAAGACATCCAAGATAGGCTTAGGAGTGGTTAGGGAGTGCTTAGGAATGTCTCAGGAGGAGCGATTTTCTCTCGGCACAATCTCTCCGATGCCCTCGTTCGTCACATAGGGACCGTCCATTAATGTTACACGTTATGGGAGGTGATGATGAAGACTTGGGGTTTTGGGGTTCATCGACTGACGTTATGGGAGAGATGGCTCGGTGAAGCGTAAGCAAGCCGTAACAAGGGAGAAGGGTTTTGGACGGCATATTGGTAAGCTTAAGTGGGGTTGCAAACCATGTTGGGGTCATTTTAAGAAATCCCTTAGCAGTGTAAACAGGGGATGAGTGTCTAGCCAACGGCAATCGGTGCGTCCCCAGGGGTGAGAGATTAACAATGGTCAACAATGCGTGCGATATTTGGGAAGCCGTCTAAATCTTGATAGATTTTATTGCGTTTCAAGACGTGTCGATTTTGGCTCGAACATGCGTCAAGTGTCGATTGGTACAAACAAAATGTCGATTGGTGTGTTGCCTCGGTCCCACCGTCATGGGGCGTGGTATTCGTTGCATTCTGTTGCAAGGAACGACGTTCTCATTACTTTTGAGTGGTATTCCCTGCTACTTATCAAACACCTTACCCTTTTTAGTACAAAAAAATGGTGCTTTCCCTTGCCATCACCATACCAGTGCCCATACCACTGCATCGTTATGTCGAAGCTTAATATCCACGAAAGCTCTCTCACCCCTGGCATCGCCATTGTAAAGCCATTGCCGAGCGAGCAGCCGTCGATTCACCAGGCCTCACAGAGGCAAATCATATGGAGGTTCGTCGCAGAACATCGGGATGCAAAATGTAGACTCTCGGCAGCGTTCCCGTCCGCACAGTCGCCCAGACTTCACGTGACGGCCCCGCAAATCGTGACAAAACGTCTCGGTCTGGCCGCTGTGGTTTCTCCTCGGTCCTGTGCTATCAAGGGTGTGCGTTGCGCCAGCCGCAGGCCGCGGCCCTGGTCTGGTCTGGTGCAGGCTTTGTGTGTTCAGTTGACATCCCATGCCGGTGTGCCGCGCCCGCGGGGGATGACGGGACGCCGTGCACCGCGCGCATCTCCACCCAGAGCCAGGGCTGGCCCTGACACCGTACACTGCGCGCAGTCATCTCCACCCAGAGCCAGGGCTGGCCCTGACACCGTGCACCACGCGCATCTCCACCCAGAGCCGGGGCTGGCCCTGACACCGTACACCGCGCGCAGTCATCTCCACCCAGAGCCAGGGCTGGCCCTGACACCGTGCACTGCGCGCAGTCATCTCCACCCAGAGCCAGGGCTGGCCCTGACACCGTGCACTGCACGCAGTCATCTCCACCCAGAGCCAGGGCTGGCCCTGACACCGTGCACTGCGCGCAGTCATCTCGACCCAGAGCCAGGGCTGGCCCTGACACTGCAGGGCTGCTCATCTGGCTTCAAGAACACACCTATTTATTTCACGCAAGAAAGACTCAATCCATTTTGGTACGGTGAATGTAAAAAACATTCAGAGCAAATGCTGCATGCGTCAGTCGCGGCAGTGTTACGCCAGGTCACATGGCCAATAGGAGCAGGAATTTGCATCATACCTGGTACGAGACGATTGCAGCCTGCGTACTGCTAAAAGCGTACTGTAACATGAACCATGACACGTTCATAGTCCTATGGGAATACCACTATTTTGTTGATATGTACTTTTGTGAAGCCGTGATACGCTTCACCAATATGTTGAAAACGTCGAATGCGTAGCGCGCAACGTAGATGGCAAACATCGCGTTAATCAATATCGCTGCATAAATGCACTAAATTAACGATCGAGACAGGGATAGATTCTCTATAAAGATATGGTTCTACCTATAAAGACAGCTTCCGCAAGCATGGCTATGTCAGCTCATGCTGACCATGAGTCGCTGCGGCAACGAAAACCGTCCTGCGCCACCAATGCTATGACACCCTTCTGCCAGTTAACAGACACCATATTCACGTGGACAGTAGCAAAATGAGAACATCCGAGCTACAAATAGTGCGATGGGCAAATACAACACAGTGTGACCGTTCATGAGAACATTCAGCTGTCATTCCATAAATAGCCTCACAGGGACTGATAGTTTTTTTCTAAATTACCATAGGCATGTGCAAATTGACTGTACAATCCATGGGAGTGACTGCAAACGTGGACCGGCACAAGCGGTCCCAGCTAACTTGCCACATCGGATATGTGGCAAGCAATACAAACAGGATATGCGGTCCGAAGAAAACGGCGTCATGGCCGCTTTCCTTAACTTGTCCGCGTTGTGGTGTCCGGAGTTTGGCGAAACAGCGTGACCGAGAGCAAGGCTTTCCAGACCGTAATGATTGTCATAACGTGATCGCATAACGCCGTACTTTACTGTTCATATACTTCTGAAGATGCCCTTGCGTACCATATACGCAGCCATGCATGGAATAATTCACTATTTAACTTGGCGGAAGTATTGTGTCTCGGATGAAGTGCCAACCGTCTCGGGTCAGTCATCACGTACGTTGGCGTTTAGCTGGTGGGGAAAACTGGCATCCTGCTTCACGTATGGCTTTCCATTGCTTGCCGTGGGCTGGAACGAAGGAACTTCGTTAATGCCATCAACGATCACGAGGATGAGTCTTATCATTATGATCATTATCATTATTGGCAAGATCATTATTATGATCAAGATCATTAGTATGATCGTGATCATTATTCTCATCATTATGATCATATCATTTTACCATATTGACATTGAGGCCCGCTCTCGCTCGCAGACAGGCCGCAAAATCCGCAGCATGCCTTACTGGCAGTCAGCTGTTGCAAGCTGGAGGTGCCACATCTAAGCCCTTCCGGCTCGCGAAGTGCAAATAACAGAGCCCAAAAGTCGTGCCCCTAGTCGACAGCAGCTTGGGTCCGCAGAAGCCGCAGCAGAATTTGCAGTTGCCAAGTGTTGCCAACCAGAGAAGTACTATTTCGAGCTCTTTTTGCTTATTTTTGGCGGGTCTGAGGGGTTTAAATGTGGTCCCTCTAACTCACAACTTCTGGCTGACTCCAGAAGTTCTGACTGATTTTGCATTATACGTAGCCGTCTGCACATGGTCCGCAAGATGTGGACTGGCCTTTAGAGGCTCTTAACCTGCGGAGGCACTTGAGCGTGGTAAGTGCAAAACAGATTTATCATCACGATCTGTCGAAGAAACAAACTTTATACATTACACACGGTTTTAAATTTTACGGATATCGTTTTCAGGAACTTGATGCTATTCGCAGAAGTGTCAAAAATTGCTCGAAGTGACGCGTCCTTGCTCCCCGCTCAGCGGCTGCCAGCGGTTACCCTCTCAGTGGACGTGCTGATGACGAACAGTTCGGTGGGTGTGCTCTGCTGGCTGCCGAGCACCGCCAGCGGGGCGCTGGGCGCGTACGCGTGTGCAGAAAAATGGTCCAGGTTGTTGTTCCCAGCCGTTCCTGGCGATCGTTAGACAAGGAATAACGTGCATTGCTTACAAGCCACCGGCTGCATATCAGTACAACAGTCACGAAAATTCGGTTTCAGAAAATAATCACTGCGAAAGAAAAGGTGGCCCCCGATGTTTTAATGGTAGAACGTGACACGTTTTCACGGTTCCGCAGCTCTTGCACAGTCTCTGCAGTGAGACGATATATATATATATATATATATATATATATATATATATATGTGTATTATATATACATCCTGACTGCATATTCATCAAGACGCAGAAAATAGCACGCAGCACGTATATATTGGTGTTGTTTTAGGCTCACAAATATGCTTTGCGAATGCGGTAACATCAGTCGCATCAAGTGAGAACGTCACGTTGGATCTGTGCGAATGTTCATGACAGGCTACCGGTGGCAACAAAAACATAGAGCAAGTTAGCAAAGCATAGTTCAGGTCAAATGTAAAAATCGAATAACGTATGTGATTAAATTTGGTTGATAACCTGAAACATGCCTTAAGTTTTTCGTTGTCCGCATGCAGGCCGCGAACATCGAACATAGCTGGGGAGTGCAGATGGCTTTGAAAATGTTTAAAGACTACACACATTTTTGGGGGCACCAAAAGGGAAAGGAGTTTTGCTCAGCAGTTGTCAACAAATGCCGACGATGTATGTACATACCGTTAGGCATCTGCTCCATAACGCTAATCTGCGACGTCCGGACGTGAAATGGAAAATTCTTGTTGGCTGCGGTAGGGCGAGTCAAAATCTGCAAAGTCGGGTGAGTGTGATGGAAACGTCCTGATTCAAGACTAGATCCTCCATTGGACGTTTTAGCTAGCCTATCCACACATGAAGCACTGCGTTCGTTGCGTGTCGTAACGGTGATTGATCGAACATTGTTGCCAAAAATGGAGGGAAATGAAACTAAACAGTAACACCAGGGAGACATTTGAGGCTAAATTCAAGTCATCATCTAATCAGGACCGATGATTGATCGTAACTACCCGCCAGCTTCGGTGGTTTTGCCACCCTCCGCAGCTTGTGTGCGTGAGTGGGGGTGTGGATCGGGGTTGGGGGTGGGGGGGGGGGGGTGAGGCGGGGATGACCTATGACCCCCGCCGATCGCACACTGTGATAGAGTACAAGTTTAGGTTATTACCCTATGATCCTGTGAGTCTGCACGTGCTATATAAGTCTGCATAATCTATCCTTGATGATCTCGACACCGATGCTGATGATGGTTTGGGTCCATGGACGATGTGAACGCTCGGTCTACCATCACCCCTGTTCACAGTTACGCACCAGGAAGAAAATGTGCCCGACGACGAGGTGATGCCATGTTCGACGCCGTTCACCACCTTCTCCCGCACCCATTTGTCGATCAGGTAGTTGGCGCATACGATCACCATGGGAGCGGACAGAAACCTGCGCAGAGGCACGGATCACAGACGTGGTTCCCAGCTGTGCCGCGGCCTGCTGGGTTACAAACATGCAAACGTCATTCATAACAAGATACTGTGTGTTAACACACGTTCAGGTTGGAGAGCGATTTGACCTCTCCTCAAGGCTTTCCAAAATTCAGAGCAAGCGGACTAACAAGGCCAAACTTGGCATTGCTATACATTATTTAGATATTGTAGGCAAATGTAGCGGATCTTATAGTTAACATATATTTTCTGGTCATAAGCCCTTGGTATGTCAAAGATAGATAAAGGTGGCCGGTAAAAACGATTCTTTGAGCAGCTTTCATACTAATAAAACGCAATTTTAGGCAAAGCTCTGCAATTGTAGATAACATTTTTAGATGATGAGACAGCCAAATTATCGTTCGAGCAAATTCCGTTGACCTTGGGCTAGCTATGCAGGGAGGATCAAGGTCAATACCAAGCATAATTTTGGCCTGAAACTTTGTTTCTCTATGAAGGTCTGACGCTTATTCAAAAGCATTTATGACCAAGAATTTAACATGTGTCTATATCAACTTACTAAAGGTCAAAAAAGTTTCTATACAAGATGGCATTGATTAAATAACTAAGGGGGCGTAATGACCGAATTGTTGGCGCCATGCGCTCCCGTGTGGGAAGTTCAAGGCTCGAATGCCGGTTACGTCATGGCCCCTGAAAGCTAATGTGACCATTGCAGTCGCTGGCGCTCCATGAAAGGGGTGTGAAAGACGACGTGCGTCTCGCTCTCTAAAACAGGTAACTTGACGATTTTCACAGCTTGTTATCAAGGGATTGCTCTTTATGATGATTTTAAATTCGAGTACCAATTGAATTTTAATGATCAATTTAAATCTCGCCGTCCCAAATTTTCTAAGGCATAAATGAGGTTCTTGGCCTGAAATGAAGATGCATTTTTTCATTGCCTGAAAATAATATCTAGCATGCAGTGGTTTGCATGGAAAGGCTTAAATCGCTTCTCAAACTGTTCTAGATCATAATGGTAGAGCCATATGACGCAAAACATGCACACGAAATAATCAAAAACATTATACATGACAATGAATTATACGTGGTACCCCAAGCACAGCGCTAGTTGCGATAAAAACAGCTGACCACTCCAAAGTTTTTGGTGGCATTTATCGCAGGTTCAGGTACAGGTAGCAAAGGTATCGTACAGCTGGAATTCAAGAACATATGGCTTCACTGGAGGTTGTTTGACCCGATGCTCACAACATAGAAATGTCAAACTCCTCATAAGGAATTCTGAGAGCCCCCTACCTGTCCTGAAAGTCTCGTCTCTAGCCCCGCCGCTTTTTTAGATCTAGGGAGTGTCAACTTGTCTCCCACCCAACCCGAGCGCGTAGCATTCACCCGCGCACCCGCGGAAATTCACCTGTGGCACATGTCAGATGCCTGAGCCTGCTCTGGCGCATATAAGAACTCACCAGACTGTATACATGGTGGAAAAGGGCAGGGAAGCCCCACTTCTCTGGGTAGTGTTTTATGGTGAAGGAAGTAGAGTACACGAACATGGCCCAGCCCAGGATCTTGAGCACGACCAGACCGTAGCCTCCCGGCGATTCGTACAGGTACAGGACCTCGCCCGGGTCGAAAAACTGCAATAGATCAGGCTGTGAGTGCACTGGTGTTCCAAAAAGCAAGCACAATGCACATTCGACATGGTAATCCCGCATCATTCTTGCTCCATGCACAACTTCCCGCCAGGCGGACATACTCGCCATCCTCATCACAGCGCTGCGTGAGATCGACTGATTCAATCTGGAGGTGATCCGGAATGTCGCGCGTGCATCGTCGCACAACCCTTCATCGGACACCATCGGCTACACAGGATACACGCTAGGTCCAGCGTCCTCAGCTTCAGGTGAAGGGGGGGGGGGGCAAGCTTCAGGTTAGGGCTCTCCCAGACAACGTCCGAGAAATACGGCCCCGTGTGAACTCCTCTTTTGGAAACATATACCCCGACGTCCGGTTCAGCGGCGCGACCCAGGTCACCATCTTGAGGCTGATTAATCACCCAGAAAAATCGTCAAACACAGGACCAGTCGCGCCGCTCGAGCTGATGCCACCGCTCTGAGAACACTGCAAGGGGAGGGCGCCGAGCTACGGACAGTGGTAACACGGAGCCCGTCGAGCCCCGGGCAGTGGTAACACAGAGCCCGTCGAGCCCCGGACAGTGGTAACACGGAGCCCGTCGAGCCCCGGACAGTGGTAACACGGAGCCCGTCGAACCCCGGGCAGTGATAACACGGAGTCCGTCGAACCCCGA